CACTTGTTGCTTGGAACTCAGTCTGCCAGGCACTGAGAAGTGACAAGTGAACAAGGTAGGCATAATCCTTCTTTCAACTGCGGGCTAACCAACAGGGAGGAAGATGCATTACACCGCTGAGTTAGCAGTCCAGTCTCAATTGCAATAAGTAAAAGACCCGGGGCTGTTACAACATATAATGAGCCGGCGAGATTTACCCTGAGACAGGGTTGGGAGCCCTCAAAAATATCTGTGTCCAACCTACATGCCTTTCTTCTTTACTAAAGATGATGGCTGTGATGATGATGATGATGATGATGATGATGATGATGATGGTGATGCTTATTATGGTAGTCATTGCCAGCATTTTATTGCGTGCCTAGCTGGGGTCATGTATTACTTTTACCACATGATGACATTATCTAGCTTAATTCTCGTAACATCACATGGGGAGGTAGATAATATTATTCATTATACAAAAATAAGGCAATGACGCCTCTAAAATTATAAGAGATAAACTGATGGGGTTCTGGGGAGTGGCCAAAAGTACACAGCTAGCTAAGCGTGGTGTCTGTGCATAGAGCAGGGTTGTTTTTGTTTGTTTGTTTGTTTGACTCTCTTATGGTTTAACAGAGTCACAGTTGATAAGTATAAAACTAGGAGTCAAACCCAGATCTGTCTGACCCCAGAGCCACCTTTCCCAGGATCTGCTGTGCCACCTGCCTAAGCAGAGTGTTCAGAAACACGAGCCTGTATGGCAGGAGGGGTGCGGAGGGAGGAAAGTGAGTGGGCTCAGCCTTTCCAAAGGAGCCTGCAGTCACCTTGCCTAGCAGAGCACAGAGACCAAAGAACAGCTTCTCCTCAGGGCTGATGCAGCATGGAGTGGGGCCTGGGCCAGCTGCCACCTGGACCAGCACCTCCAACCCTAACTTCCCACAGCAGGCTGTCTGACTGCACAGTGGAAGTGGACCTCGGGGACCTCAGTGATACCTGTGATTTCCTGACCCCCATCTCTACCTCAGCTTTCTTGTCACACTAGAAAGGATCATTTTAGTGAAATTCCATCCATATCTACTAGGATGGATGTGTTCTAGATTATCACTGTCACTGCGGGTCAGATTTGAACCCTGTCCTTGTCAAACACCAACACTGTCCTCACCTTCCCTCCAACTGTCCCATGCTCAGGAGTCACATGGTGCAGTGACAGGAAGATGAGATTTGGGGTTCTTTGGGACTGGAGGGGAAGCTCAGCCCCATAACTTTATAAACATGGCGACTCTGAAAACAGCCACACAATCTTTCTGAACTTTTTCTGAACTTTTCTGAAAGTAAGAATAATATTTCCAACCTCAAGGGCTAATTAGTGTTAGATAGGGGAAATATAAAAAAGTCCAGAAGAATATATAGAGAAAGAACATGGAAGAATGATTGGTTATGGAAGTTTGAAGGAGGGAAGGTGTGTGTGTGTGTGAAGTGGTGGGGAGGGGGGAGGATGGCAGATGATCACTAATACCGAGTTTCTTTCTCATGAGATAAAAATGTTTCAAAATTGTAATCATGGAAACACCATTCTGCAAATGTAGGAAGACTCATTGGATCCTATACTTTAATAGGTGCATTGTGTGGCATGAGAAGTATGTTTCAAAAAAGCCGTTCTAAAAAATAAATAGTGGCAAAGATCTGTGATTTCTGCATGGTACATGTTCACTTCATGGACATGGCAATGATATAGAAATATTTGTACATGTCTAGCCTATCAAATTGATATAAAATATGAATACATAGGTAAACACATGTACATGCACATATTCATATCCAAACAATACATGAATATAAACAGATGGGAGGATTTGGTTGGTGAAATAAAAATTCTCCACTTGTGTGGAATGCTTTTAAATTTTCAGACCATAGTGGCATTTGACCACATCTTTTGTCCTTCCCTGATGATACTACAAGTGCATAGACTACAGCTAGCTAAGGGTGGCATCTGTGCATAAAGCAGGATTGTTTTTATTCGTTTGTTTGTCTGTTTGACTCTGTTATGGCTTACGTATGAACACCCCCAGAAGATTCATGTGTCAAGAGCTTGACCCTCTGCACAGCAGTGTTTTGAGGTGGGACCTAGAGAGGTAACTGGACTGGGAGGGTGTTGGCCTCATCAGTGGAGTAACCTATAGATGTGTTCACAGTGTACAGGGCTTCTTAGGACACTGGACCCAGCTGCAGGACACAGTTCACTAAGGGTGTAAATTTTAAGGGCATATCATGTCACCCTCTCCTTTCTCTTGGTCTGTAGCTCTTTCTTTCTGATTCCTGGGTGCTACAAGGCAGGGAGCCTTCTTTCCACACACCTTTTGGACATGATATTTCTCTCGTACCGCAGGATTAAGAGCAATAGAATCAACTAACCAAGGACCTATATCTCTGAAACTATGAGTAAATAAGAAGCTTTTTGCCTCTAAGTTGTGTATGTCATGTATTTTTGTCCCAAGAACAAAATGTGGACTTCTTCAGACTCCTTGTCCATAAACTCACACGTCTACCCATCACCTCCTTCCAGCAGCCCTCCAGTGGTGGCTATCTGAACCCCAAAACACCTTCCCAGCTGACCCATAAGAGAAATGCTGCTGGTTACTTTGAAGTTCAGACATTCTGACAGGGACAGAAAGGACTGCAAAATAAAAATGTAGCTCCTTCCTTCCTTCCCAAAGGCTTCCCTAACTCTATAATTGCAACCTAATCGCACTCTGAAGGAAAGGGTCCTTTCCATGCAGCAGCAGGCTAATTATGAGGCTGGATTTCTAAAAATTATCACCTTATAAATTATGTTATTCCTCTGATGGGGGAGGAGAACACGCACCACATATCCAACTACATTTCAAACTGAATTAATTAGTAATTTGAAGCCTAATTATCAACTAATCTATCGGAACATGCAAGTCTTTTGTATTTGGATGGTATGCGCAATTTGCATCCTATTAGCTGACAGTTGTAAGGATTCCAGAACTCATTAGGTCAGAGGGAAAATGTAGATGAGAAGGATACAGCAACCCAAGGGGCTGACTTGGGGATGCTGTGACTTGGGGTCACTGGGTGACAGATGGAGGCTGGCAATGTAATTACCTGGGGTCTTTCAGTGGCTGTGAGGCCACTGGTGTGTAATTTCTGTCTAACTGCAAAGATGTAATTATGCACCCCTCTATCCTTGTTCTCTGTATTCCTGAGCAGCAGGGCACCCACCAAGTCTCACTGAGACGCAGTCTTGGGATAGCAGGAAAGGCAGTAGATGTCACTGCTATAGCTCCACTGCTTACTGATTACCTGACACTCTGACGCTCCCTAAACCTCAGCCCCTTGCTGGTTCTGTTTACTGACAAGCAAATGGGATTTAGATGATGTTGATTCCCAAAGTGCCTGCTAGCGCCATGGACAGGATTTAAGGGGTGTCCAGGGCTTTCCTCACTCCTTAGTAAATATAGTAATAATAATAATAATAATAATAATAATAATAATAATAATAACAATAATAATATTTTTCCAAGTAGTCTTTTGGGAGTGAACATTGGTCCTCCAGAAGACTCTGAAATGCTAGTACTTATTTAAAATGCAAATGTTTCTGAGTAAGCTACTGTATTTTACCTAGTAACATTTGGGTCTAAATTAACCTATCCTGATTAGTTCTCTGTATTTCCAGTCCTGACTTTGAAATACGTAAACTGCCAGAAAGAGGAAGTTTTGAAGGGAAAAGAAGAGGAAGGCAAGTGTCAATCTAAGTCTAAAGACCAGACCAGAAAGAAGGATAGAATTCAGATTAGGCAGGGCGCTTGGGTTCCATGTTTAGCTCTATATGTGTGCTTTAATTCAGCTAATGGCTTTTACCCCCAAACAAGTACAAAATATCAGTCTTTTGTTCAATTAATGACACTGTTCTCAGAAATAGCACAAAACAACTTGGCTAAAACCAAACATGGTTATACACTCAGTTAAATAAAGTTAAGACTGAAAATTTATTATAGATGAAAAGCTAAGAGCCTTATCTTAATGGAAACATGGAAAATTAAAAAGACAGGCCAGGGAAACAAACACTGTAGAAAAAGCCACCATTAAGGGAAATTGACATTTGGCAAAATTTGTTATTAATTAAGATTTGATGAAAGCTGTAGCCACTTTGGAAAATAAATTGAGTGCCTTCAAATGTCAAACATAGAATTTAGCACATGGCCCAGGAATTCCACTCATAGGTGCAGCCTCAAGAGAACAACATGTATCCCCAGGTTCAGGAGCATTATTTATTCTAGCCAAAAAGTGAGTCAACCCAGTGTCCATTAACTGTTGGTTGAGTAAGCAAAATGTGGCAAATCCATACAATGGAAGATTATTTGGCAATATAGGCAAACACAGAGCTAGGATGTAGATCAGTGGGTTCCCTAGGGCTGAGGGAGCTTGGAGGGCAATAGGCCATGACTATAAAACGCTTTAAAATAAGGCTGGGTGAAGGTTTCATAACTGAAACCAACGGGGTGAGTTGCATGGCATGTGAATTATATCTCAATAAAGCCTCTAAAACAAGACTAAGCCTAACATAAAATTACATTTGATTTTAGAAGAAAGAGCTGGAAGAACCAAACTTCACTAAGAAAACAGATATGTTAACAATGGCACAGCAAAAAATAGAACTGAATTTGAAATAGAAGGCCAGAAAGAGCAGGAACATGACATGTTGTATCCATTCAAAGATGTGGTGATTTTGTCCGTATTGCCCTGTGATGCAGCGGATTTTAAGTGCAGACTGTGCATACTGGTTAAGCCCTGCCCCCAACAGGCTGTCTCCTAGGATGATTCAGGACCGGTGGTTTGAAAGTGGGATGTGGAAGGGAAAACAAACTTAGTACCACCAAGACTGAGTACGGCAGCTCTGAATTTCCCTTTGCACCCACAGAGTGCACAGTAGGCAGGGCCCTGGAATGGAGTTAGGAACGCAAATATTGAAAGGGGCTGATTGCTCACAATGCTGTACTCACCAGGTTGGCAAGGATGTAGTGGTAGCCAATGCCATTCTTCTCTAGCTTTACAATCTGCAAAACACAGGGGGAGGGGACTCATCAGTAGTACCAGCAATGAAAGCTACCACTGCAAGAGTAATAATGCATTGATCAGTTAAAACTCATGTTGTTCATTTATAATATGCTCTTCCCTACCTCAAGTATATAAAATGCAATATTCCAGTGCATTGATGGTGCCGTTGCTAGTATCTATGTTCTACAGAAGCAGAATGATAATTAAGCTCCTTAAAGTTGCCAAAGACTTAATCACAAATGCCTGATCTGAAATCACTTTTGTCTGATTCCAGAGGTTCAGTGATATTGTTATAACCCTAAGAATCCAGCTGAATCCTCAGCAAACTCCTTTCCCAAGCCACTCGTGCACATGGAGTTTCTTTGCGAGGTAAGGCAGGAATCCTATGTGACACAGAAACTCCACCAATGTCATCACAGTGCTTGCTGCTAGGATGGTAGGCTGGACAAGTAGGGGATCTTAACTTTCGACTCTTCATGAGCCATATACAGATATTATTATTTGTTTGTTTCTTTGTTCCCCCTGAATTTTGTGCTTTTCTCCAGAAGTCTCTTTAGTATCCCAACATTAATAGATCATTCAATGTGGAAGTTGGGAGGAAATGTTAGGATCATCTGATCTCATCCTTCACTGGACAGCTGGGAAGCAGAAGGGCAAAGGGGAAAATGATTTATACTCAGGTTTCATACTACTCTGGTAGCAATGTCAGGACCCCTGACTAGTGAAGCTTTTCATATAATACCTGATTATTGTTCATCATTAGAGCCAAGAGCCCCAAATACCCTTCCATCTTGCATGCAGACTGTCCCTAATCATTGCATGCAGGAAAAGTGCATGTGAAAAGAACTACCCAGAAGTTTGCATGGGCAGCCGGACAAACCACCCGGCCAGAAACGGTTAAGATTACTGACCTTGCTTCCATAGCTGTAGTTAGCCTGGAGATTAACGTGAACTATTTCTTTCTCTTTTTCTTTTTTAAATATCAAATTTGGGTTAGTGTACCCTGCTCAGTGCATCTTTCCCTGCACTGTTGCAAGGAGACATAAAATACTTGAGAAGCACTCAGGCTTCTTTTGTAACTGAATAGATTTTCAAGGTTATTAAAATCTACATTCAGACATTCTCCTTAATTGGATGTATGGGCAAAGCAGCTGACATATTTTTTTATGTGGGGAATAATTTAATGCAAGCACACACAATGAACGCTATGAACCAGTGGTTGGACTGTGAAATTCCAGACCAGGTAGCTCAAAACTATTGGGACGCTAGTTTTATTAATAATTCTTCATTATTTCTTGATCTTCTTGTCAAATGGTTTGCTGCCCCTTCCACAATGAGATACCTTTATCAAAAATCTATTTAGCTTCTAACAAACACAAAATAGCAAATAAATAATATTTTAAAGCCCTGCCACATTCAGGCAACAGGGAAATATATTTCCTGCAAGATGAAAGTATGAGAGAAAGCCATTAAATGGGTGCCTTTTAACTATAAAAAATAGCAATTTTGTGTAGTTTGACCTAATACCAACCTTCACCTCCATCCACTTACCTACCTATCCACTGGCCTACTTTTTCTCCTTTACCAACTTTGTTTTGCAAATATTTATGAAGTGCTTACTGTTTAAAGCATTCTGTGGTCCACACAGTGACCTGCAGCCTAGGGAAGGGTTACCCTCCTGAAGCTTACACTTTGTAAGGAGGAGGTCCGTAATAAACAAGTAAGTAGACACATACACACAGCTCACAAAACAAGGAAGGTATTATCAATGGAATGTGCAATTTCACATGGGGGTAATCATCTTGCGGACCCCATTATGTCTAAGCTCATTTCTTTTGGATTATTTTATTCACAGTCTTTGTGTCGCATGGCCTCCCCTGTTCTCCTTGATTGTCTCTATCTTTTATGGCTGAGTTCTATTTTTACTTGCTCTATAAATCCTTCTGTGATGTATTAATCTGCTCAACAAATATTTATTGGATTTATATTATATGCCAAGCCCTGTGCAGCAAGGTCCTTAGGACCTCAATGAATTATATTGTTATTTTTAGTAGAGAACCAGATGGTAAATATATAAACAGATTACATGAACAATATTTCTGCAGGTGAGAAGCACCATGAATACAGTAAAACAGGGCAATATGATGGATAGCCCCAAGAGAGGTTGACCTACTCTGACCTTAGTTTATTTTGTACATAATGACTGTATTATATAATTTCGTGTCATATATTGACAGAGCATAATATTCTAATAACCCTTGCTCATCAACTTTTATTGAGTTCCTCATATCTACAAAACAATCCCAAACTCTGTAGAAGGATATTCATGATTGTGTGTTCATCTCTAGTGGACACTCAGCACCCTCCACTTTCCCTGATAAGCCCCCTGGTGAACCCCAGCTATTCTATGATCTCTGGCCCTCCAGCTTACATCCATCCCTACAAGCTTGCAGGCCCTTATTTAACATATGGCAGAAATTCAGACCCATCTCCCGTTTGAGATTATTCTTACTTTTCATGGAGCACTTAAGTCTTTCAACTCATTTGGACAATATTTATTGAATGCTTGATTGGTGCCATGTGCTAAAGCACTGTTGACATAGTGGGTAAGAAAATAAAATTAAAGGCATTGTTCTCCTAGAGCTTATATTCCAGTTGGGTGCTGGAGACTGAAGCATGCAAGCTGACTGCAGAGACGGTAGCTCCGGACACAGAGGCAGGCAGAAAGGCTGTGTTTGCAAGACTTTGGGCTCTGTGGCTGAGGCCAGTTTCATTTGACTTCCTGCTTTCTTTGTATGTTGCCAGCGAGAACTCAGGCCGTGTAATCCTTTCCTTCTTGATAATTAAAACAGAGAAATCGGTTGTAGCTGTTTTACAGTATTGATGTGAGGGTAAATGGGATGAGCCTCGGAAAAGCCTTGGAATAATGGCCGGGGAACTGTAAATGCTGAGAAACTGACATGGCGCAATCCAGGACAAGTCACGACTCTGTCAGAAACATCCATTGTCATTCACCTCAGTCTTAGTGTCCTATCTCATCTTATCTTTTTACCAGTTTTGCAGAGCGGCGACCTGAATTCTTAGTTTGCTGGTGAATTCATTTATGCCCACAGAGTGAAGTGATTCCAGAAAGCCAGTACTAGCAGGCACTACGAATACCAAAAGTAGACAGATGTTTATACATGTCACAGGCTGTGGGCAGGTTCTGTTGCAAGTATTTTACATGTGCCAACTCTTTTAGTCCTCATAGGAGCTCTTAAAGGTGTATGCTTTCTAGCATTCCCATTTTACAGAGCAGGAACCTGAGACGTAGAGAGGTGAAAAACCTAGGCAATGTCTAGGGAAGTTTTAAGGGCTAGATTGGGATTTGAACCCCAGCCAGCCTGGTTCAAGAGTCTCCGATTTTAAGCCCTGTCCCAAATGCCTCCCTTAAACACTAATATTCAAAGCACTGACCTCAGCCTAGGGGACTTCTGTTTTTGCCAACCTCCTTTTTCAAGAGCAAAAGTCGAATGCATCCTTTATAATGCAGAGCATATAGAATTAATGCCTTAACCGATCTTCTGACTTTCAGAATCTCCCCCTGTTGTGTGGTTGAGGGTTCTGAGTGATTGCAGAGCTGGTGCCAAGGTCCCCTGTAGAGGACTGAGGAAGCTTGAGGGCCATTAACAAGTTTCGTCATGTTGTCAAGTACCTAAAACGACTTTCTTTTATTATAGGGTACTGTTAAAAAAAAAAAAAAGGATTGCAAATCTTCTTCCTTGCTAATTTATCTGAACACAAGTGCAGTTCACAAAGGCCCCCTAAATCCATGCCAGGCACACGCTTCAGGTCTGAGATGGGAGGAACTACAATGTCCATATGGCTGCTTAAAACCTGGTGAGGTTTTGGCACCTCTTCCCAGCATGCGCAACGGATTCCTCAGAGTGGATCCAAGGAAGCTGTAGAGAGGGAGGTGGCTGCGGCTTCCTTGGGAGCTTAAAGCAGGTCAGTGGGCCACAGGGATGAGATTCCAGTGTTAGATGGGTGAGCCCATGCAGAGCCCGGGGCCGCATGCAGGAGGCTGGCTCTGCAGCTGGTGCTCCTGATGTGAGAGCGCTTCATGAGCTCTAAGTGCTATGAAATTTATTTTTTAACAATAAAGAGAAACACTGGAGCTGAATATTGGCCAATTGATCCAAGAACCATTTGAAGCTCCATGTTAAGACTTCTATTGTTGAAATCTCAGAATTAAATTTTACAAATGACAGAAGGTGAGGTGGAAGGATCTAGGTTCATCTCAGGGTCCTCTTTATCATCCTCTTTATGACATCCATGGCTAAAATGTGCCCCCTCCTTTCCCAAGTTACTCCCATGCCCACTCAAGCCCTTTCGGGCCTTTGCTACCTGGCCCAGGATGGCATTGAGGCGTTCCGATTCACAGTCCACCACCACCAGCCGCTCCTTTTTCTTCTCCAGGTCCTGAAACAGCATCCTGTATCCTTCCTCTGTGGTTGTCAGAATGTTGACTGCTGTCACCTGCCAGTTCTTCTCTGCTGCCGTGTCCAGGACTTTCTGCAGGACGGACAAACCTGGCAGACAGATGGTAGACCGTGAGCACCGCGGGTACCCCCACCAGCTCCCACCGCTGTCTATCCTAGCTTTGCTCCTCCAAGAAACCTGGCTCCAACTTTCTCTGTCTGTGCAGGTCTGTGCCCCTCTGCGCAGGCGCTGGGACTTCATTGTGTTTCTGTCCCCAGCACGGTGGACAGTAGAATTAGTGGTTACCATCGAATCTGAAGTCAGGTTCATTATAGTGGCTAAATTACTTCATACGGGTGCATTTGTCTCTCCCAACCTTAGTTTTTTCAATGGGAAAGGGCAATGCAAATCATCACAATGTCCTTATGGAGGTTAAATGTGAATGTCTGATGCGTGGTGGGGTCTGACCCCTTGAGGGTTTTAGTCTGTGGCTCAATACTGCTTTATTTTATCTTTGAGACTTAGGTGGTGTATTCATTTCCTATTGTTGGTATTACAAATTACCAGCAGTTTAGAGCTAACTGTGCCAAAAAATTTATTAGTAGGTACTTTGGAAAGTCAGATATTTGAGCTAGGTCTTCCTGGATTAAAATCCAGGTGTTGGCAGGGGGATGCTGCTGTCTAGAGATTCTAGGGGAGAAGCAACTGGGTTGCCTTCCAGCTCATAGAAGCTGCCTGCATCCTTGGCTAATTCCCGCCCCATCTCCACAGCCCAAAATGCTCGCTAGGCCTTCCTTTATCACTCTGACAGTGACTCTCACGCCTCTTACTTTCACTGTTAAGGACTTTGGTGATTACACTGTGTCCAACCAAGAAACCCAGGACAGTCTCCTTATTTAAAAGTCAGTTAATTAACAGCATTAATTCCACCCGTAGTCTTATTTCCCCCTGGCTGTGCAATATAAGAATGTTTCAGGTCCCAGGGATTAGGAAATGGGATGTCAGGGGAAGGTGTCATTCTGCCTGCCACAGATGCCTAATGGGCTTTGGCATTATTAATTTTTATGTCGATCATTTTCAATTCCCAGGAACACTGCTAATCCCCTCTGTAGGGACCAATATGGTGTCTGGTCTAGAGAATCCTCTAGAGATTGATTCTGTCCTGCATCCCTATTTAGTTTTCCTTTCCAGGGCAGGTTGTTGCATAGGTTTGAACCTTACATTTAATAAAACTTTACTGTATGTGTGACAGTATTCTGTGGCTTTCTTCCCTTTAGTTCAGTTGCAGATACTACTGTTGCTCTTATTTTAGAGGTAGAAATTGAAGTTCAGAGAGATTCAGCCACTGACTCAAAGTCACACAGCTAGAAAATGACACAGGTCAGAGCTCTGAGTTCCGAGGCTATGATGCCCTTTGGAGAGGGTAGGTCCTTCTGCTGGTCCCTATAGCAGAGTTACATTTTTCTGACTTTGCTACTTCCAGACTGCAGCTGGGTGACACACTTACCCCACCAAGACAACTGCTTTCTGAGAAGGCAAATCATCAAAATAGGGAGAGGGTATGGAAAATCAAAGGAAAGGGTGCTGATGGTCTCTCTGCTGGCTCCTTCCCATCTAAAACACCTGCATAATTGCTTGAAAAGTGAGTTTTACTTTCCCTGTCCTACTGAGATCCTTTCAGACCCTCTACAGCAAGCACACCAGGGATCCTGGCCCAGGCTTCCAGGCCCAGCACATCCCATTTATTCAGTTCCACCAACACTCACTGTGTCTTTACAGGATCGTTAGCACACAAGGGGGAGGTGGGCAGTGCTAACAGACAGCACAGGAGTCGGGCAAAACACAGAGTTCTTGTTGAGAGGGTCAGGCCATCGTGAGGGTGGTTTTAGTCAGCTGCTATGGAGGAGAAGGATGTCTATAGGCAGACTTAAGAAGAGAAGCACCTGAGAACAGCATGAGTAGAGGCACAGAGCAGAAGGATGTGTAGAAGGATGTGTAGGGAATATTTGGAAAATGCGCTGTGAAACTGAAAGGAAGCAAAGTTACAAAGCCTGGAGAGGGTCGATGGTGGTGATGATGGTGATGACGGTGACAATGGTGGTGATGAAAGCAGCTAACACAGCAAGGGTCACGAGCGCGGACTGTGTTGCAGGCACCAATCTCTCTCTAGTTAGTGTCTCATTTCACTCTCACAATGCGCTTCTAAAGCAGAGACTTTTCATCTTCGTTACGGATGGAGATAAAGTGAAGATAAATTGAAGGCATTGTGAATTTTATCCTCATTACGTCACTGGGGAAACTAAGGCATAAAGAGCTGGTCAAAGACAGAATAGAAGAAGAGAGAACCTAGGATTCAGATCTAGGATGTCTACACTGCTAAAACCCTGCCACTAGGCCTGACCCATTTGACTGGGGCCCTTGGACTCAGCAGCCATGGGAACTTGGTGAACTGCGGAGTGACACGGTATGGTAACAGTATGGTAAGCGATTACACTCTGGAAGGGTCCCTACTGTGAGTTAGGGATTAGCTTCTAAGAAATCATCCACAGAAATAAAGCATTTTGGATCATTCCTTCTTGATTTTCAAGGGGCACCGAGGCAGGATTCTTCTTGCTGATAATAGTCTCTCTATCTTTTAACAGTCTCCACTAGTCCTTGGCTTACCTCGGTCAGCATCATAAATGTAGACGAATTTCTGCCACTTGTAGTGGTCGATGATGCTGATGAGGGCATCCTGAAGCTCAGGGCGCAGCTGAAGGACAAACTGGTTCGAAGTGTCTACAGGAAAGCTCGGTGTGATGAAGCATACATGGAGGGCCCCGCAGAAGGAGGTCAGCATGTTGACAGTCCTGCGTTCATAAAACCCGAAGATGGCATAGACTCCTTTGGAGAACTGGGAACAGACTGGAAGAGAAGAAGAGAAGGATTAATGGACAGAAGATGCTGTGAACACACTGTTGGGTGGCCCCAAAACAAAGTCACTTAGTAGACCATCATCTAACCCATCACCCTAGTAGGTAGCCATCTACCCATCCAACTCATGAGCAAGTTTCTCTATCTCCATCCATCCATCCATCCATCCATCCATCCATCCATCCATCCATTCAACTCTCAGTCTATTCATGTCACCATACATTCTACTCATCTGTCCACTCTACTCACACATTCATCTTTTTGATCTCCCAACTATCTGAATTTGAGGCTTATTAGGTGCCTGGTACATGCTAGATAACACTATCATGGTTATTAATTTTAGTAACCAGGGATACATCTATTATTTCATCTATTATTTCACTTTGTCTCTATAATGACCCTGTTAAGGTTATGGGTCATTTTTAAAGGGGAAAAAATTGAGGATCAGAAAACTAATAGACACATTCAAATAGCACAGCTAGGATAAGCCTGATTTAGAAAAATATCTTACACAGCAACATTTTCACCCTATTGCCCGTCACTTCAAGGCAAAACATAAAAAGATGTTATTAGAAAAAGATGTCGGATACATGTTTAAGAAAATAAGTGTTGATTTTCCTAGATTAGCCTTGAGCTCTCAGTGTGCATTTCTCTGCTGATACTCATTTTGTGTTCGTTCATTATGCTAGCTGATTTTTGGGCCTCCCATGTACCAGCCATAGTAATAATTTAGCTGCGTGAACATTCCCCCAGGATCATTTGGCAGGCTCCCAGTGCAGTTACCAATTCTTGCTTGGGGTTGATTATGCTGCTGGTTAGAGCAACATGCTAATAACCATGGCAAAGGATGCTAGGTTAGTCAGTTCCTAAACTTCAGTTTGCTACCATATAAGATGGAGAGTGCACAGTATTTGTCATAGGAAGGGGACCAACCAAAGGTCATTCCCAATGCCTGAAAATGATCCTTCCAAAGTAAATAGTGAGGGGGATCAGTCACCCTTCTCTTTCTTCTAAGGAGTGACCACCTTCTCTCCACTCAGCCCCCCCTCAGTCTCCATCACATCACCCTGTACTGTTCCCTGCTCTTCATCGGTATGATCTAAAATAACTTTTTTGGTTTATTTGTATATATCTGTTAACATTTGTGTCCATTTAGATTTCCTGAAAACGGATTGTGTTTGTATCCTAAAGCTAGCAGGATGCCTGGAACATTGTAGATAGTTAAAAAGTATTTGATAAATGAATGACAAATCTTGATGGGAAGGCTACAAAACTCACAGCAGGTGATCAAGTGGAGCTAGATCCAACAGGGGAGTCTGTTGGTTCCCCGAGACCTCATAGTCTTCTGTCCTGGTCTCTTTCTTCTAAGGTAGCTTTTTCTCTTACATCACTCACACTGTTACTGCTTTCTCCTTAATAAAAACACTCTTCCCGTTCACAGTCCACGAGAGTCACTGTTTTTAAATGTCTATTGTAATTACGAGGATCACAATTTACATAAATATGAATTTCTTTACCAGGAAGCATGCGTTACATGTTATCCTCCTTATGTTAAATATAGATTTGTCAAAACACACAATCTGTCTTTCAGGTTAAGTTTGTATGGGAGACTATAAACTCTGGTAAAGTATTATAACACGCTCTCTGAGGTATTTATAGGATCTCCTCTCTTGCTGCAATGAAATATTATACTGTTGGGCTTAAATCTGATGTTCCAGGCTTATTCCTTCATGGCACGTTTTTGGTTTCACACTTGCATTTGGGGCTCTGGGTCCTCATAGCTGGTGTTTCTTGCTCGTATTTTAGAAGTGGAGAAAGAAAAACTAGGATGAGAGGGGAAACAATCTGAGCAGGTGATATAACAAATCCTTAGACTCATAGAAAGCTGGGATTGTTTTCTCCTTCTTAGTTTTCCCTTCTGCACACCATTCTTCCTTTAAAAGAATAATGTTTCATCCTTTAAAGCCTTGGTCACTACTCCTTAACAGAGCATGGCTCACAGGTAGCCTGGGCCAGGTCTCCTTGAGTGGGCCTTGCCTCCCAGAGTGGCTGAATATCTGACCTGCATGCTGGTCCTTCACTTCAGAAACCCAAGGAAGTGGGCGGCAAAGAGGGAGAGGAAAAAGGAGGGAAAGGGTCCAGGGAGAGGGGGAGGTAGAGGGAAAGAGAGAGGGAGCGGGAGAGGGAGAGAGAGAACCAACTCTGTAGGACCAAGACTTGTGGGGAAGGTAGGCAGCAAGCCACTGTGTTGAGAAATATAATTAGTAGTTGTCAGGCATTTCTTTGAGTCTGTCACAATAAATATTCAATTAGGAGAGATAATATGGTTCTGCAGAAAAAGTACCAGACTCGGTGCTAGAGGACTGGGGGATTCTCTTTTTGGCTTAATCATTACAGAGTATACTTGTGTGACCCTCGGCACATCCCACACTCTGGTGGAAATTTTCTCATTCTGCAAAACAATAATTCAGGGTGCTGCAGCTTGGACTGGACACTGCTTCAGGCTGCAGGACTCTGCATTGTCCTCTACTGGACTGGAGAGGGTTTCCTGATTCTACACTAGTTTCTTACTTGCTGGTAGAAATTTTAGCAACTTCTGGGGTAATTTTTTCAATTCCAGAAAGTAGGTAAAGGTCTGGGTTCTTGGGATTCCTTCCTAACAAAATGCTTCACACTACATCTAGATGCTTTTGGAGTCTTTGGTTTTATTTGAGGTACAATTTTTAACTGTGCAAATGAATTTGCTGTGCAAATGAATTCCCGAGGACAGAGAAGACAAGATGAGGAGTTGGAGTGGAGGATGCCTTGTCAGGGAAGGGAAACGGTGAAAGGGTTGCTGGCCCAGACCGGACACTGTAGCCAAAAAAGCCTCAGCTGGAATTAGGGAGCTCCTGCCTCCCCCGCCCCTAGAGATTTACCTGTAACCCTATACCCCCACCCTTCGGAACCTGCTCCTGGCGCCAAACATGTGCCAATGAAATACCTGTGCATCTCTAATGGCCTTAGGGCACTGCCCTAAGCTTAGGCTACTTATATTCCCCCACCCACGTGTTCGTGTGAGAGAGATTGCCAGATTCCAGCGGCCAGCGTGCCAGTCCTCTCTCCCCATGTTCCCGGAATAAAGGCCTCTTTTGTCTTATACTCCTCAACTTTTGGAAGCATTTTTCACCCTCTGAAAATAATCCTATCAAACGGGAGGGAAGAAGCGGGAGCATTGCAAAGCAGGATCAAGACTGGTGACCACTGACCTCATCACAGACTCTGATCCACAGAAGCTGACTCCGAGCCAGCTGGACTGTGAGTAAAATACTGTGGCCGGGAAGGCAGTGTGTGTGTGTGTGTGTGTGTGTGTGTGTGTGTGTGTGTGTGTGATAATATCTGACAGTGATAATTAGGAGCTGACATTTGAGAACTTACTGAATGCCAGACACTTCTTATGGATGCTTCCTTGCATTAACTCTTTTCATCTCAAGAAATAGATTACCAACTGGGCAAATGAGATTCTGGGCCAGAATAAAGCAAGCTGAGATGTGAACTCTACCACTCTGGCTCCAGAGATGGATTCTAAATGTGGGCAGCATGTGACTGTCTCCATCCACCATGATGGGAAAGAACTGCCTTGGCATAGCAGTCAGCTCTAACTTATGGAAAATCCTTTCTTGTAGAACACAGCCTTCTCCTATCCCAGTTAAAGAAGGCTTGCTTCATTTGGCCCATGGAGATACATACATGAAAATCATTGCTGGTGTTTGTTGTCTTCCTGTCTCACCTCTGAGAAAAGCATTTATACACACATCTTGCCTTTTCTTTGCCCATGCATTCAATGGCCTGTTTAACCATCACTCCACACCTAGCACCCGAGACTGGCGAGACACTGGGATAGGCAATGGTGATGCACTGGTGAATCAGGCAGGCCCCTACCCCTGGCACTGTCACCTGGGCCCTAGTAATTCAGCCTAAGAGCTGCAGCGGGGATGAGTTCAGGGTTCAGGCTGGTCTACCTAACTCCCCGCCTTTGGGCCTTTGGGGATCTCAAAGAAGGCTTTCAAAAGAAGGGGCCAGCTTCTACCTTGAAAGACAAGCAGGAGTCATCCAGTAGAAGGAGTTTAGAGTATTTCCTCATGAATACCTGGCTATTCCAGGTATGAGGAATGTCAACCACAAAGACCTGGCAGAGAAACAGAAAAGGCAGCCCACTCAGGGAATCCTGCCAGAGGGTCATTCCTCCAAGAGACTCTGAGGTTCATTCCTCCAAGAGATTCTGCAGCAGAATGTGTCCAATGAGCAGTGTGAGCAAGAAATGAGGCCAGGCATTCCCTGGTGAGGAAGCAGGCAGGCAGGAGCCAGCAAAGGCAGGAAAACCCATGCCCTGCACGGCGCGGGCTGTCCCATGGCAGCCTCGGTTCCCTCACATCGCTTTGATAATCACTCCTGGTTAAGGCACCATCCACTTATTACCAATAAGTCTCCCAGCCCTGGGCACTGGCCTTGACAGCTCGCTCCTCGGGAGGGAGCTCCCGGTATTAGCAACTCTTTTTTATTGTCACTTCATCTAACTGACATTTCTCCTTAGCTCCGGGCTGCCATCCCTGGAAATGTGTCAGCCTCGTGGTAAATAGTGGGTAATGAGGTGGTGGGACAGCTTCATCTGGGGGAGGGACAAAGCATGGGGATGGGGGTACTCTCAGTCATCCCTCTCCTGAATAGTTCTGCTCTTTTTGGGGGAGTCATGGTCTTGATCATCTGACTAATGTTTTGATAGCAAATGTGCTTTTTGTGCATCACTCAGGAGACAATAAGTGTCCTTTTGTCTGTTTTTTTTTTATGGTCTTTTGGATCCTAGCTCCATGTAGACATGCAAAGAATCATTGTAATAGGTATAAATTGTCCCTATTCCCTCTAAATCTTGTCACATCTACTTAGGATGCTGAGACATGTCCAGGGCTTCTCTCTCATTTGGGAGATAAAGCCTTATCACTTACTTATTAAAT